CCCCACAACAGGCACCCTGTGAGGTAGAAGAAGAAGAGGAGAATGGATTTATACCCTGCCCTTCACTACTACCCAAAGGAGTCTCAGAGCGGCTTACAAACTCCTTTCCCTCCCCCTCCCCACAACAGACACCCTGTGAGGTAAAAGAAGAAGAAGAAGAGATTGGATTTGTACCCCGCCCTTCACTACCCAAAGGAGTCTCAGAGCGGCTCACAAACTCCTTTCCCTTCCCCTCCCCACAACAGACACCCTGTGAGGTGGGTGGGGCTGAGAGAGCTCTGACACAAACTGCTCTTTCAGGAACAGCTGTGCCAGAGCTTGTGACTGACCCAAGGTCACTCAGCCAGGTACAAGTGGAGGAGTGGGGAATCAAACCCGGTTCTCCCAGATTAGAGTCCGCACACTTAACCACTACACCAAACTGGCTCTTGGTCGGCTCAGACTGGAAAAAAGGTTGGCACAGGGCAAAGATGATGGAACGCAGCTCGTTACCTAAATGCCTGACGGAAGAGCTCCATGTTCACGGCCCTGCGGAACCGTGAAAGGTCCTGCAGGGCCCTGATCTCATCCGGAAGCTCATTCCAGTAAGTTGGAGCTGCCACCGAAAAAGCCCTGGGCCTGGTCGATACCAGCCTGGTGTCCTTAGGACCGGGGTGGGTGGGCAGATGATCTTGCGACCTGGACCACAGTGCTCTCTGGTGAATGTGTGGGGAAAGGCGGTCCCTCAGGTAAGCAGGTCCCAACCCTGACTGTAAAAGGCTTTAAAGGTCAAGACCAGCCCCTTGAAGTGAATCCGGTCTGCTATGGGTAGCCAGTGCAGTGCCTTCAGCACAGGCTGGATGTGGTCTCGCGTAGGGAGACCCATCAACAGCCTGGCTGCCGCATTTTGCACCAGCCGCAGCTTCCAGAGTTGCGCTGAGGGCAGCCCCATGTAGAGAGCATTGCAGTAGTCTAACTTCGAGGTGACCATTGTGTGGGTCAGTGTTGCCAGATCATTGCGTTCGAGGAAGGGAACCGACTGCCTAATCAGCCGAAGGTTGTAAAAGGCTGCCTTGTCAGTGGCTGCTCTCTGGGCCTCTGTTGTGTCCGCAGAGAGTCACGAGGGAGCCAGTGCCTTAGTCCAAGCTTGGTCCTGAATCACAAAGAGACCAAGGATCCTGGGAACACCAATAGGGCCCCTGGAGGGAAATTCAAACCCACCAGTAGGAAGAGGGGAGCGGACTAAAAGGTAAAGGTTTCCCTTGCTCGAAAGCCAGTCGAGTCCGACTCTAGGGTTGCTGTGCTCATCTCCGTTTCAAAGCCGAAGAGCCAGCGCTGTCCGAAGACGTTTCCGTGGTCATGTGGCCGGCATGACTAAACACCAAGGCGCACGGAACGCTGTTACCTTCCCACCGAAGTGGTCCCTATTTATCTACTTGCAATTTCTTGCTTTCGAACTGCTCGGTTGGCAGGCGCTGGAACTAGAGATGGGAGCTCATTGCGGCACACTCGGGTCTCGAACCGCTGAACTACTGACCTTCCACAGACTGCAGTTCAGCGTCTTAACCACTTGAGCCACCACAGCTCAATTGGATTATTATTAGAAGTAGTAATGGGTTAAAAGGCAAAGGTTAAAAGGTACACAAAATGGCTGCCGCGGGAGGCGGGGCCAGCCACAAAATGGCT